AAAAAAAAAAAAAACTGGCCCAACTAAGATAGGATCAAGTACACTGACTTCTTATTTTCCTCTATCTCGTGTGTAACCATTAATGTTTTCTTTTTATTTCTACTATCCGTCGAACGAACAAAAATAGATAGACAGTGTGGTTATATTATCGTCCACTGTGTGTATCCTTCGTTCGCTTTTAAAACATTATGCATAATACTCCTTCGCAGCGGAGCGAAATCGGGAAAAAATGTACATACAGCCGCTTCGCAGCGAAGTGAAGAACATTCATGCTAATTATTCTCGGTGTGTTCGCACACATGATAGACATATTTTATGTGTCTATGGGATTCTGGGATTCTAGGAATTACTCGGATAATTCGCATAGACGTTAGACATATTTTATGTGTCTATGGGATTCTGGGATTCTAGGAATTACTCGGATAATTCGCATAGACGTTAGACATATTTTATGTGTCTATGGGATTCTGGGATTCTTGCAATTACTCAGATAATTCGCACAGATGATAGACATATTTTATGTGTCTATGGGATTCTGGGATTCTTGGAATTACTCGGATAATTCGCATGGACGTTAGATATTGTATGCGTCTGTGGAATTTTTCTGGCGTTATCCGGCCTGCTCAGTTGTTGTACTACTGTTTGACGTTTACGTACTATGCATGTTATGATTTTCTAGTTTGGTACTTGTCAATTTCACAGCTGAGTTCGATTAGAATGAGCGTTGGTCATTCTCAGACATACTTGTGATTGACTTACATGGGTTGAATGAGAGCGGTCTGGCGGTTCTGGCTAACGTCTCTGAATTTAGAATGCATTATTGGGCCTAGGAGCGACAAGCTCGGACGTTTTCGAACGGCCTACCATGGTAAATCTGTTCCTGAATTTGTTTTTGTAGGTCTACGTTTTTAACCTTCTACTGTAGAATGCTGAGAACCGAAAGGTTCTGGCTCTTTTGGTTGAAAAATTATGCAAAAAATGTCCGGTCCGTTCGTTTTCTGCACGGAGAGTGTAGCAGAAGTAAAACGTGGTACAGCAGGTATTCTACGTGTCATTACTATTTTGAGAAAGTTTATTCAATCTGATTTTGCATTAAATTTTACTATTGTCACGTTCCTAGAACGATATATTTTAAGATATTTTTTCTTCCTTAGGTCACTTTGTGCGAGACTGCAAACTATGTTGGTAAACAGAATATTGTTTAGAAATTTTCAAAACTGTTTATGCTTCAATTTTTATCCATAAAGACGTTATACTTTAACGTAAGAGCAACTATAAAGGTATATAAAACGGTTCAAGTGAAGTTGAACTGATTTATTACAACAACAGTTCCCTCTATCTATCTACTTTTCTAACAACTAATTAGTTTATTGAACGAGTTATCTCCAAATTGAAGAAAAATATGCATTTTTATATTCCAAATTTTGCTCTATATATTCGACCATCTTCTTTGATACTCTATTTTTTATTGTTCTTAGAAGAAAGTTTGAACACACAAATACAAATACACAATTGCACAAAACGTGGTAGAAATGAATGAAAATAAATATGACACAACAATACTGAATATCGTTTCGCTTAACTAGAACAAAAGAATAGAAAAAGGATGCTAGATAATTAGATTTCCACGTGCAATGGTATAGGCACTTACTCTTTCACGACGGATGATGCGAGACCATAATGTCCAGGCGAGATTCGACATGTAGCACAATTTTTCAGATGAAACAGAATAATATAAAAAATTGTTGACTTCGGATACGAGAATGACTTGAGTATATTCTTAAAGTTCGTGAAATATGAAAAAATTTGTTCGCAGACTTGACTGTGAATGTTTTGATATACTGGTATATTCTCACCGATGTCCGGATTCATTTTATTCTTGCAAATCTCACGTCTGTGATTTTTAATATGAAAGCGATCAATCGCTAAATACATCGTTTTGAAAAACGTCGAATGTTCACTCTTCTTAAAGTGTTCTGTTTCATACCATTTATCCATGAAAAGCCGGAGTGTACACGCCGTATCGTACATCATCGCTGACGGTAAGGGACCATAACGTTTAATTCGAATTAGATGTAACAGACGACGGATGCCTTCTGAACGGGGTTGTTCGTCAAATCCAATAATAATTCCGCAATTGAGAAATGTTGCAACGAACCCATAGCTAGATAATTTTGATCTAGCTTCCATCCCGTCCCGATGGACGTTGCATTCATCGGATTTTTCAATAAATTGATTATCTTCTTCTTCTAGAATCAATGCTTTTTGTTGAATGGTTTGATTGTCATAAATCGGCCGTTCTAGTGCACTTCCGGATAATAGCGACGATGACAATATTGTGTCTTCATTAGCATTGAACAACAATCTATGTTTTTCACAATAGAATTTGGTTCGTTTTTGCTCTGAATAAAATCAATATATATTGATTATAGAAAACAGACTCGGAAACTATTTACCGTTGTTCTTATCTCGTGTTGGTGTCTCTGGGCACCCAAGAAGAATAGGACCAAGTTCATCAATCGAAACATCACATACGTTATCGAATGAACATACTAGACGATCGGGCTTCTGATGTCCATCGGAAACGAATACACGTGAGCAGTGTTCATCACATTGCTTGAATGAAATAAATTTGTGTCGTGTCCAAAATGCCACAAACATTGAATAGAGTAGTTCAGCGTTTTTCCGAAAATATTCGTCTCGTCCATAGTTCTCTATATATAAACGAACAAACAATTGCTATAGTTTATTGTAATAATGTTTATATCCCTTACTCTGATATGATTTTGGAATTTCAAATGACGCATTCCTATTCATCATAAAACGGAATCGACACAATTCATAAATGATCCAATTGTTTTGAAAAACCTGTGGATGTAAATATGTTTTCCTTCGATTTGTGAAAGATAGATCATCGATGTCTGTTTGATTGTCCTGAATTGATTGAATTATAAAATCGAACGAATCGGAGAAGCCGTTAAACGTTGTATGACAATGAATCAGATTTGCTGAATACGCCATGAATAATCGGAAATCAAACACAGTGAGCCCGTCGAAATGTAAATATTGACTCGATTGAAATTTTGCGAATGAAATAACTTTTTCTTTGGTTAAGCGATTTTGATAATAGCACGGATAATGATCGTACTGACAACATCTTCCTTTAAAAATTGTACAAGATTTAATTGATGCTAAGTCGAACAGAGTCGAGTCATGGCACGAAAATTCTTCTATTGATCGTCCACATTTTATACATTCCAATGCAAATGGTAATAAATTAATGACATTGACGATTTTCTAAACTTTAGAAAGGAAAACTTCAAACAGCATTTCTTAACTTATTCATACCCACCTACCGCATCGTCGATATCAATGCGATTTCGATATGTATTGATAATATCATCAACGTTCGTGTCACAATAGAGTTGTTTTTTGAACTTAAAATTAATAAAGACAAGGGAAGCACATATAAAACATTGTTTTACATAGCCAAACGCCTCTCTACCTACTTTTGGTTGATGTTTAAAAATTGAACAGAAACATTGTACATCAATCGCATCGAAGTGCCTGACAAAGTTCACTTCCATGATACGCCGAATATGTTCGATTTTGTTCGGCAATTGTTCCGGTAGAATGTCATACAATTTCCAGACAACGTTCAACTCTTTGATTGTCAATTTATTTAGCAATAACAGAATTGCATTTTGATCGTCATTGACCTCGACGATATACTTCGAAGGTGTCGATGCTACTACATTCATGGCTACTTCGTCTACAGACGCCAAATTATTAGATGTAATAGGGTGGAGATCTGAAAAAATATTAAACACACAATCAGTATGTATAGACACAAACATAACAGGATTTCTAAATGTATTACAAAATCCAAAAATCATCTGTTTATTGCGTGCTTGGATTACAAAGATACTTATATATTGCTTTATTATAAATGTCGCACGAAATATTATTTCCTTGCATGGGAACTTAATTAAAACAGATAATAACAGTAATAAAATAAATAAACAAAACTAAACTCAGAAAATATAAAGAAGACATATACAGATAAGCAATTATTCCTATACTAGCCGGTCTTTGTCATAATCTTGAACTGGCTTGACATAGTATATACACAAAAAATAGAAGTAAAAAAATGAAATTACATGTTGGCAGACAGTAAAGCAATGGTTAGCGAGGTTAAATACGAGTAAAAAAAATAAGAGTATGCTAGAAATACCGAATTGAATTGAGAATTATTAATTTTTCTCTTCCACTAGTAGTTTATCACAACTGGCTTATATAAAAAATTAAAAATCTTGGTATGATATGGATGAGAATATACATTTACTCATGGAAACAAAAAAATTAAAATTATTTTTCAATTTCTTCTCTTTCGTTTAGATGTCCCGATACTCGTCGCACTTGCCATCGCTACTTTTCTCTTCTGGGCAGAATAAAATGTATCGACAGCTAAAGTAGAGTGAAAAAAGGATGTACGTGCAAATTTCTAATTGCACACTTGCACACTTACCGTTACTCGATAAATCAGACAACGCCAATGATGTAGGTCGAATAACTTGATCATTTTCAAATTTTACATACTTTCGATAAAACGCGTTTGTATTTATCATGGCCTCAAATGATTCAGATAAACCATACGACGTTCTCGAATGAACATTCACGGATTCGATGACCGGTGCGTCGTTCTCGTCATATTTTATGGGGTGCCCATTATTGAACGATTGTAAAAATTGTTCATACGAGATTGAGTATCTCTTTAATTTTTCACAAAAATCCATCAGCGATGTTATATCTTCATTGGGACAACTTTTTATATATCCTAAATGTTTTCTTAAAGTCGACGAATTTGATTTTCTTGAATAATAGTAATCTTGTTTGAGCAGTCCATCTCTCAATAATAAATTGATAGCCGAATTTCGATTGCCATTATTTGAATGCGATGATACGCTTGCTATATCTGTCTTTGTCATTAGACAACTGCTTGATAATAGAATACGCTGACAACAGGAGATAATCTTTTCAAACGAGGTAGTATTGTTATTTTCATCTGTAGTCAGTGATGATTTTTCTTGTTTACTATTTTTAGTACTTGTTTTTGTTGGAGAGGGTGACAATACGGTGGCTTCTTGATCCATCGCTGCTGAAATTTCATTTGACAAAACTGAAATAAATAGAACAAAAATCTAAACTATACAGTCATAATAATAAATAATACAAAAGTAATAGTGCTATAGCCGATGAAATTACCTTTGTTAGATTCGCGAAGGATTTGTACTGGGTGCTCGTCTTGTTCTTGATATGAAAAAGCTTGTACTCGTGGTTGCTGTACGTTTGAATCGAAGATTGTATCTGTAAATCGGTCTTGATCGACAGCGAATGATGATGAACTCGACGGTGATATTGCTTGTTGAGATCGTATGTTTGTTTTATGCACAGATACACTTTCGGCCGTCTCATTCGAATAATTATCATTCGAATCTATAATAAACAATAAAGAAAACTGAAGAAAAGTATCCCATTTAGCGTGCTTTATTAGGATTATTACGTTCTTGATTGTTCGCTGCCGCTGCTGATTCTATAGTTTCAAAAGCCATTTGTATTAGCTGTCCAAATTTTGTTTTTGATGAATCAATCATAACTAAAATAGATAAGAAATAGCTTATGTGCATTTAAAAGCAAGGGTCCCGTACCTGCTTGATTGCTGCATGTATCGTCTACTATTTCAACCAATTCAATATCTTCATTCTGTAGATGTGCTTGCCTTACAGATGTTGTTGTTTCAGTTGGTTGTTTGTTGGCTGTTACAGCATTCATTATCGGTGAAGTCAATACATCTTCAATCATTGTGGTTGATTGTGCTATATTCACGAATGATGATAGCTGTGCTTGAGCTGAGGTCGGCAATAATGATTTGGTGTGATGATTTATCAAATCATAGTCGGGATCCAATTCATATTGTATCTCACCATCGACATTTGTTGTTCTAATTTTACCATCAGTAATTAATATACCAATTTGTAATCTCATTTCTGGATCATCTTCATATTTATGATATTCTCGTATATATTTCCGATCACACGCTAAATGTGTGACAAACTTTAACGATAGTTCACTGTTGGGCGGATACGATGACGACTCGTAAATTTTTGAATATTCAGCTAATGTCACATTGTAATTATTTAAATTTTCTTCGAATTCGGCGGCCTCCTGTGGATCAGCTGGAATCTGTCGCTTAAAATAACTAATTCTCGTTTTTTTCAGCCACTTGTCAGTTTTAATTAGTCTGAAATAGAGCAACAATACAACACATAAATAGAACTATGAAAAGAGGATAGATACGTTTACTGAGTCTACTTACTTGGATCGTTCTAATTCTTTTATACCCTCATCAAATTTGTGATCTTGATGATGAAATGGTCCATTAACGGTAAGATTCTTTGGATTTTTGCCAGTAAATGCTGTCCGACTAAATACATTATAAGGAGACAGAAGAATAATTCGTGCATTTGCTTGTTGAGTTGACAATACATTTGTGCTTCCTTTCATTGATGTTGACATGGGATTTAAATCAAACAGTTTCAAACTAACTTTGAATATGTGTTCGTAATATGACCATAATGCGAAACAGGTATCGAATTCGATGTACAGAATGGGCATTTTTTGCTCATTTCTTTCGATTTTATCATCCAAAAACAGACGTTTGATAGCTAATTGTGCTTGTATGATAAAATTTTCGTCTATTTGTCGAAATTCGTTGTGCCCGTCTTCGAATATGGCGTATTGCTCAACGACAGATAAAACACGAATCACATTTTTGAATATCTGAAATCCCGTACAGTAGCGGGGGAACAACTGTAGTACTTTTGCATGAAAATTTCGGCTATGTTGCTCGGTCAATTTTTTCCTCTGCTCATATAAATCTGCTGTTTTATTAAATGTATAATAACGAGCATTCGACTGTGAGTTCAGTGTTTGCTCTTGTGAATTTAATATCAATGATTCATCATCTAAAATGTAGAAACATAAATATATGTAAACAGAATTCTTTTTTCTTCTTACATACCCGATTCATCTCGAAACTGATATTCAATATCGCCAAATAGATGACATACAGCAAATATGTGAGCAAAGGATGCTGTTGATGATACTGACTCTCGTTTTTTTATATGTTGAGGACGTGTTGCCTCTTTTTCATCTGATACTGCAAAATATGTCATACGATTATGCACTCCATGATGACCATCATTTTGGCTAAATTGTTGTAAGACACGATTATACCGCATGCCAGTGGTAGCACCTAATATTGACAATTTGGCGTCTTCGATATAATCGACTGTCGACCCTGTTCGTCTTGTGTTATTTCGAATTCGATCAAATGCTTCACATAACAGTGAACTCTCTTCGGCCTTTTCCTTTGGATCAAAAACACCCAATTTTGAAAATGCTGAATCTAATTCATCACTTAATATTAGTTTATCTCCGGTGGCTAGTTCTTTACGTAGTGATAATCCATTTATATTGGATAATGTTGAGCCAGTCATTACTTCTTTTTTACCGATCATTTGTTGTCGTCGATAATGACTACTAAACAGTCGATCGACCTTCTTCACAGCTTCATTCAATATTTCCATATTAGCTGATTTCATCGAACCTAGGATAGGTTAAAAAGACAAAAAAGAAATGTTTTCTTTTCCTCTCTCCATCTCTTACCTGATGGTCCTATAATAACAGAATACAAATTAAATGTGTTTGCTTTATAGAATAAATCCAAGTAATGGCTACGATTGGAAAAATGAGCAATTATTGGAAACATTCCAAAGAATAACATGTTAGGATCACTGCCACATGACTGACGATAATTGTCTAACCATTTTACTTCTTCTTGAGATAAAATACTTGTTAAATTAAACTCGATGTTCGCAGCTTCTCGTATATTCTCGATTAGAATTTTACCGAAGTCGCTCAGAGTAGAAGACATCTACAATAAAAATATACACGAAAAAAACCTAATTATCATTTTATAAACAATAGCGCGATAAACACTAAAAGAAAAATAGCACAGATCCATCATCAGATCTAACTAACTTGTATCAATATATTTGAGAAAAAACTAGATGATGTGACGATTAAAAAGTTAGAGAAAGCCGAAACCTGATTTCCAGCGACTCCATTTATGGAACTTTTCATGTCTTTTAAATATTTTCAGCGCCCAGCTACTGGAAACGCTCTTTCACAATAATGAACACATTCGGTAGAGCGCGACATTTCGACAGACAAAGTATATTACGACAATCTTGTGCTAATTTATATCATTGATCAAACTATCTTTACAGTGAAGGATTTTCTATATGGAAATAAATAAAGACAAACCATACTTCTAGAGATATAAGGTGACTTCTGGTTTCATGAACTGAAACTGTCACTCTGTTGAATCACTCAGGAAAACTATTATATAAGAAAGTGTCTAGCAGCTACAAATACAGTTATGTATTCGAGGGACATAACCTAGAAGAAGATGAACAACTTTTTCCATTCTAACTAATGTTCTACTGTATGTCTTCAGCAGAAGCAGCATGAACCGAGTGCCAACACTGCTGAATCAGCACATTACAAGAAACGTCAATGTAATGCAGTACACAGTAACTTCGGTTTTCGGTGGAACACTTGTCATCCTCAACCTCTGCCATCATCTTCTGCTTAGATCTAGATATCTTAAAAAGAAAATTGAGAGAAAAGATTTAACGAGAAGAAAACTTTCGTTCGAGGAGTGGAAACACCTTGCACTGCCTACGAGACTAAAAAGAACGTGTCATCAGTATCGAAATAATAAAAAAATTTAATAGCTTCCACAAAACAAACTTACACATTACAACAAAATAATATAATAACTTACACTACCTACAAGGCTAAAAAAGAAAGTATCTTATGAATCAAAATATTGAAACTTAGAGTTAAGTACAACTTAGCAGATGTTCACACAAATGTAGATCCGTAAGACTATAATGGTCACTTTCTACAACACAACTAACTAAAAGGAAATAAGTACTACAGTTCTACATAAATTAGGCTACGATACACTCGAACTGAGAGTGCAAATTCCTATCGTCCATTATTGACTTCTGCCACTCTAGTGAATGAATGTGACCAAGAAAATAAAAAGGGCATTATGTAGTTCTAGTTGTGAGTGGTCGTTATATATAGTGGTCAGTGGCCTGCACAGGATAGTAACATATGGATTTCGCAAGAGTTACACACCAATGCATTAGAAGGAGAAAGGATCGGATCGTCGACTAAATGAGAAGCTTTAAGTGTCAAAACTACAAGAATATAAAATAAATTTTAGAGGAAAAGGTCCGGTTTGGATTCCTTTCAATTTGTCTTACAAGTGCATTTCGTCGCCCTTAATCTGTTTTCATGTAACCGTTTGTACCAAATACACAAATCTTCAACCACGCACATGCCAGCCGTATATCTTATTCACAGAATATGCACTCTCGTTCTGTATATAACGCACACAGAACGTAGTTTTCACTTTCAAATAGAAAAGGAAAATACAAGAAACGTCAATGCGATGTAGTACACACTAACTTCGAATTCGACTAGAACACTTGTCATGCCCAATCTCTGCCATTAGCTTCTGCTTAGATCCAGATGTATCAAAAAGAAAAGTGAGAGAAAAGATTTAACAAGACGAAAACTTTCATTCGAGGAGTAGAAACACCTTGCACTGCCTACGAGACTAAAAAGAACGCATCATCAGTATCAAAGAGGCCAGGAAAATATTTACTATATTCGAAGTTTCTTTGTATGTTCATTATCAGTATTAAAAATAAATGTTTAAATCAAGTCTAACGTGTGTGCGAATTACCCTGCCAATTGCAAGAATCCCAGAATACCATAGACACATAAAATATGTCTAACGTCTATGCGAATTATCCGAGTAATTGCAAGAATCCCAGAATCCCAGAATCCCATAGACACATAAAATATGTCTAACGTCTATGCGAATTATCCGAGTAATTGCAAGAATCCCAGAATCCCATAGACACATAAAATATGTCTAACGTCTATGCGAATTATCCGAGTAATTGCAAGAATCCCAGAATCCCATAGACACATAAAATATGTCTAACGTCTATGCGAATTATCCGAGTAATTGCAAGAATCCCAGAATCCCAGAATCCCATAGACACATAAAATATGTCTATCATCTGTGCGAATTATCCGAGTAATTGCAAGAATCCCAGAATCCCACCCACACCGTAAATAATTAGCGCATATAATTTTTCAGTTCGCTGCGAAGCGACTGTGTGGACGTTTTTTAAATTCGCCGCGAACGCGAGCTATGCATACTATGGCTTTTAACGTATATAATAGATATACAATACAATTCAAGTAGTCATTTCTTCACTTTTTGCAAAGGTGCAAAGAGCGTTTCGTTCAAACTTTATTCACTTCTTTCGAATGATGAATAACACGCAAAG